TAGAATGCATCCATGCTGTGATCCGGCCATCCTGCACATTGCGGCCTGCCACCCCCAATAAGAGTATAGCCGAGAGAAATTACCTCACCAAACATCTGTAGGGACACGAAGTGCATTCCTCACACTGTACATCAGTTTTAATTTATTTAATGAACAGTGGAATAAAAAGATAGCAGAAGTCCAAACAGACTTCACAACCAAACACTGGCATTAGCCAGCAAGCAAAGATCAAATATTTTCAGATAAGTCATAGAACTTTGAGCTGAATTCTGACATCCTTAAAGCTAAACTCCACGCAAACCGCAAAATACACAGACTAAATACATAAATAGATTCGTATTTCTGCCCATCCAGCGCTGACATTTCTGGAGCTCTGCTACACAGCACAGTCGTGTCTGCCAGGCGACCTCATTTTTCTCTGCTGCACATAAGCAATACTTACAGGTCTTGTTCCTCCCCCAGCCTGGGATTGGACAGTCAAAGGAGAAGCAGCAGACTAATGAGCTCATCTATCTTCCGATTGGCTCCTTGTGCTGCTTCTCTCAGCCTGGCCTCTGCTGTACAGGGGGTTGGTACCAGGTCAAACACGGATTTCACTTAAAAATACATTTAAGAATGTACTAATACAGAGCTCCATTATTTGGTGTCTTTATATCTGCCTGGAGTTCAACTTCAAAAAAATTATGGGATGCACCGATACTAGTATATATTATATTAGGGATGCACCAATACCGATACTAGTATCGGTGCCGAGTATTTGGGGCGAGTACTCATGCTCGCCCAAATGCTACGATGCCGAGTGTGACGAGAGAGCATGGAGCCAGCTTCCCGGCCAATCAGGAAGCCAGGTGCTATGTCCTTACACAGCGCCTGGCTTCCCAATTGGCCAGAAAGCTGGCTCCATGCTTTCTTGTAACCTAGTGACGAGAAGCATAGGGACGGCTTCCCTGCTAATCGGGAAGCCGGGTGGCGAGTTATTACATGCCGTTTGGCTTCCTGAATGGGATTTCCGGTACTCGGTATCGGAGAGTACCAAAAAATAAATATTGGTACTCGATACCCAAAAACAGGTATCGGTGCATCCCTAGTTTATATGTTTAGCCCTTTCAGCACAGCCCTGTGGTGTCACTAATGGTCAGTTAAGACTTGTTCAGCAATGAATGCAAACAGAAGGAATCCTGTTCATTTTAGAAACCCTGTTACCATAAGCAATGGTGCAAAAAGTCCAGATAATACATCAGTACTTGTCATTACTATTGCCACCTACGGGCAATCATTATATTCAAGAACTACAGAGTTATACACACAAGCAGGAAATAATAACTACAAGTAACTTCTGTGTTAGGTACGCAGACAGGGTCTCTTTAAATCGCAATACCTAAAGTATCTTTATTTTGTTACAAACGTACCCCTCTGGATTGATACTCTGAAATCTCTAACCTGTTAAATCGTACACTAAAATAATTGCAATGATAGGGAGACCAACTCAATGTCATCACAATTGTAGTGTATATAAATACTTCAATATATAGTCTCTGCCTGCCCAAAAAAAGTCCCCACATGGATTCAGCCATGCAAAAAGGTAACAGCCTTCCATTAGATGAGTATTATTATCCGGGATTGCTACAGTTGGTCAGGTCTAGGTTCAGCAAAGTTATGCCCTTTAAAAAGGTGGTCAGCTGCCTCCCTGAATATACTGAATGACCAGGTTTTTCACATCAATACATTTTTTCTTCCCCGGTGGCACATTGGGCATATTTTAAAATGACAATGTCAGGATTCATTGGCCTCAAATTGTGAAAGAGTGGTTCAGGGAGCATGAGACATAATTTTCACTAGGGATGCACCAATATATCAGCCGGCAAAACATATCGGCCGAAAATTGCACTTTTGGCTAAATGCCGAAAGTGCCATTTTGCTGCCGATATAGCGGTGCATCCGTGACTTCTTTCCTCTTCGCTGGGCGCTGCTCTGTGTCTCAGAGGGGAGGAGAGAAACTGTCACAGGCGGCTGAGCGCTGCTGGAAAGCGCTGTGAGCGGCCGGCGTCTCTCTTTCCCGATCAGCCTCCTGTCACAAATCGTCAGAACGGTGTGTGGGCGGAGACAGCCAGCGCTGTCATAGGAGGCTGAGCTCTCCTCCCGCACCGCTCGCTCAGCCTCCTGTGACAGCGTGTCAGGAAGGAGCTGAGTGTTTGTACATAATTGAGAACATGGTATGGTTACTATATCCCCAATTATGAATGAATGGGAAGTGATCTACATTACGTCCTGTTCATTCATGATTGTGGTTATAGTAAACACACTCTGTCCTCATGTTATGAATGAACAGGAACACTCAGTATAGAGGATTCCTGTTCATTGAAAAGAGGGGCTGCAGAATAAGAGATTGAGGACTCTGTGTTCTCAATCTTTTTCTATTTTAAAAGGGAAATATCAGGGGTCTGTTTAGACCCCTAATATTTCCCAGAAGCCACTAAAAGTAAAAGATAAAAAGTAATATTACATACAAATAAAAAATTCAAAATGTTAGAAGTTTATAAAAAAATAAAAATAACATTTTAATTTTTTTTTAGAAAGTTAGAAAAAAAATGTTTTTGGTTTCAGCCCGACATTTTTTTTTCCTTTTTCATTTCGGTGCACCTCTAATTTTCACACATGAATTGTCCACCACAGAGTCCAGACCTTAACCCCATTGGAAATCTTTGGGATGTGCTGGAGAAGACTTTACGCAGTGGTCCGACTCTCCCATCACTACAAGATCTTGGTGAAAAATTAATGCAACTCTGGATGGGAATAAAATGTTGTGACATTGGATAAGCTTATCGAAACCATGCCACAGCGAATGTGTGTCGTAAATCAAAGCTAAAGGCGGTCCAAGGTAATATTGAAGTGGCCAGGCAATGTACTTTAGATACTGTAATACCAAAGATCAAGAATTCCTCTGATATTCACACACATTAACGAAGGATCACTAAGCATATAGAAGCTCCAACACTGAACATGTTACAGAAGTGACATTCTTTTCAGAAGTGAAAGAATCCAGCACCAGGAACTTGTATGTAAAAAGTCTAAAATAGCTCTTTTATTACGTCCATATAAACAGTCCAGCAAGTGACACAAATCACTCCACTCCTTGCAGGTATGTTCGAGATCCGGCCCTGTTCGAAAACAAAATTTTCACCCTGCGCCTTCAATTTTTTTCCCACCATTTGTCAGCAACTAGAGCTTCCCCGCTTTCTGAACCCCACACTTCCCCATTGCCCACAGTGTTATTGGTGCCTTCACTAGGCAATAAGGACCCAGAGAGAAAGGGCAGGCCAAAGGGTAACCACAAGATCTCTGATCATACTTTTCATGATACAGCACCTTGTATTCACTGTTCACTAAACCATTCCCCCAGACTTCCTGAGCACAGCCGTCATAATAATCCCATAGCCCAAACGTCACAAACCTATCTTTGAACAAGATATTTGTTCATCTGTGGTATGAAGGTAAATTCAATGCTGGACTCAGCAGAGCAGGGCATGGAACGCTGCATTAGATGGGGCGTATTCTTTAAAGAGGCCCTGCCACCAAAACATTTAATTTCACCAAAATTATTCACCAAAAGATGTGTACTCAATGTATTTTACACTTATTTAACTGTAAGCCTGCCTGGTGTAGACGTGTGACTCAGCACTCCCCTACAGCAGAACATTTGGGCAAAACACAACTGCAGCTTGCCGACTGGACAGTGGGGAAAAGCACGATGGTCATTTCTTTGCCTACCCTTTCTGTTATTTGCCTGTAAAAGCCTTCCTTGGGTACACATCTAAAAGCCCTGAGACTGCTGCTGGGGGCCATCATCTTGAATGTCATGTCTGAAGCACGAGCAGACTCCGAGAGGTCACTCAAGTGACACTCTATAGCAGTGGTCTCAAAGAACCGGCCCGCGAGCCAGCTGACCTGTAATAAATACGCGGGGAGCGCGTACCTGACTTGCGGGAGCAGCTAAACGGTCTGCATGGGTTTGGGGTTTTATTATTTTATATGTGGGGGAGTGTATTATTCTATATACACTGTGTGTATATATTATTTTAGATGTGCAGGGGTAGTTTTTTTATGTGTATGGGCAGGGGGGGAGTGTATTAGCTCCATTCACACCTGTATCTTCAGGTGCAATTAGGGATTCCTGCTTCAGGAACTTGCGTTTTCCTGCAGCAGGAATGCATAATCTGGCATTCACAAGCGGCAGCTGTCACCCATTGAAGTTAATGATCAGGTGACAGCAGCTGCATGTAAACGCCTGCACATCGCATGTAATGGTATGTAATAGGATTACATTTGGCTAGGAATCAATCACTCTCCCTGGATGCATCAATTGTCACCGCATGTAATCACATACATACATCACATACCATTACATGCGATGTGCTGGCGTTTACATGCAGCAGTTGTCACCCGATTAACTTCAATGGGTAACAGCGGCCGCTTGTAAACGCCAGATTAGGGATTCCTGATGCAGGAACCCCTAATTACACCTAAACCTACAGATATGAATGGAGCTGTATTGTGTGTGTATTGGGGTCCATAGTACCATACCGGATATAGTTACATTTTATTTTAAAGTATGAAATTTGGCAAGTGGCCCCCATGGGAGAAAAAGAAATTGTTGAGTGGCCCCCGAGTGAAATTTGTGTTTGAGTTTGAGACCCCTGCTCTATAGCATTCCTCTTCACTCCTCCGGCAACTGCATCAAAGCTTACGAAAGTGAGGGGGGGGGGGAAAAAGGGGTGGACAGAAAGGAGCTGGACCAGCACAGAGTAATTAGACAGACCCAGAAGAGGAGAGGGCTATGACATGCAAGGAGGGAGGCGGCTGTGCTAAGAAAATTGACTCTTCCTGAAGTATTTAAATTGAAAGTTAACAAAAAATGATAGAAAGGAAAAAATGAGCAAAATATGGTACCACATGCACATTGATATTAATCAGAGTCAGATTAGATTTTATATTGTGCATACCATCTGGTCAGCTTGTTGAGAATCAGCTGCCACTAAAAACCATTCAATATCCAGCGTTCCAATGTCCTCTGGTGCTATAGTGTACTTGCAATCCAGAATTATTTTGCCACCATGGATACCTTCAAAGGACTTCTTGTTCAATGCAACCAGTTCCAGAGCATTCAAAGAAGCTGAAAAGAAAAGAAAAAAAAAGAGAAAAAACATGTAAGCTTATTCCTCTGCATATAGACAGACAGGTTGATCAGAAACACTTTAGATGTTAAAGTTGTATTAGGCTAGGTTCACACCTGGGCGACTCCTGACCACGCGGCAATCGTGCACAAAACCGTGCGGGCATGGAGTCGCCCACCGCAGCCGATTACACTGTGGATGCCATTATTTTCCAATGGCACCCCAGTCACGCCGGGCGTATCGACGAGCGGCGCAAAAAAAAGGCACTTGTACCTTTTTTTTTTAACCAAATTGCCAAGGAGATGTCACCCTATTGAAATCAATGAGGCTGTTCGGCAAATCGCATGTCCCGCGTGTTCCTGAGGTGTGAACCTAGCCTTAAACTATCAAACTTTTTCAATAATAAATGCAAAATCAAACAAATATACATTGTTCCGCAAAGTATTTTTCCCCCCATAGACACACATGTATCCGAACAGCTCCAACTCCCTCAGCTCAGCTTTACTGAGCTCCCTGTCCAGTATAAGATCATAAGGGACAGAGCAGTCTCCAGCAGCTGTCCATCTGCTCTCTTGGAGAAGGAAGGAGGAGCGGGGAGGAGGGGAATGGCATGGCTTGCCTTGCTGTCTCTGGGTGTTTGCTAGTATGCTGTGTGTATCTCCACACACACAAGGTTGGCTCCAGAGGACCCTGCAAGGGAAGGGAGCCACCCTAATACAGGATATCAGGGCCAGTGCTCAGGAGACAAGGCGGATTGTGCAGGAAACAAACGTTTAAATCATCAAGCAGCAGCATCCATTGTAAGTGATTTTACCAGCATTTGAAATCACATAAAACCTTTTGACTTTAATATCACTTCAAGTAGGCCAAACATAAAAACATTAAAAGATTGACAACCATTAACGTTCCTGGCGGTAAACCCATGTGGCTCGGGGTTAATTTTCCGTGTCAAAAGCGGTAACCCCGAGCTACACTCGGGCGTCTTCCGGGTTCCTTCCCTGCGAGCGCCAGCATTGCAGGGGGGCGGAACCGGCGAGAAATTCAAAAGTAAAAAATAGACAAAAAAAGAAAAGAAAAAAAAATGTATGAGATAATCATACCGCCAGGGAGGTTAAAGCATCTAAAACCAAGAAAGAAAAAAAATTACCATTTTGCAGCTCACTAGTGCTTAGATGTGATGGCTGCATTCTTTAAGATTTTAAGCCCGCCCACAATTTATTTTTGCCTTGTGATCTGGCTAATAACACACTTCCTTTCCTAGGGTGACAACCTCGTACGGCATCTATGGAGGAGCAGCTTTGTCACTTTAGAAGGGATCTACGGATCAGACCTCCCCCTCATTCATTATATAGGTTTTGTAAACCACCTGAGATAGCTGGGAACAATGCAACTGTTAAGGTGCCCATACACCTTACGATTATCGGACTAAACCTTTTAGTCCGATGATCGAACCGCCGTACGATTTTCATACGGCTGCCCCATGCTGCCCCGATTATCGCAAGGTTCAATCAGCGGTAGTTTTAAAAAAAAAAACATCTGACCGACTTGCGGTAATTGACCGTAATTATTTTCGTTTGCGCATGCGCAGTGTTAATCATACGACTTTTGACGGACGGAAACGCCACCAACGATGCGAACATCGTACGATCGACCAAAGTTTTCAAACATGCTTGACCGTCAAAAGTCGTACGATTGTACAGTACTATCGGTCGGGCACTCTATTCACACGTTACGATTGTCGTACGAAAAGTCGATCGCATACGATTATCGTAAGGTGTATGAGCACCTTTACGAGCGCAGCAGAGATGGAGCACAGTTCACACCATTTCTGGCAGGATCAACAGGTGTTTCTTGTGCTTTAACAGATATAAACTAAAAACACTTTCAAATGTATATTTAACAGACCAGAAGCGAGCAAATAAGGGACATTCCCTCTTGTGGTTTACATACACTTCAACCTGGGCAAAGGCGTGCGTTACACTTGGTGTGTTTACACAGCTCTGCACACCTTTCACACACTGGACTCACACCCTGCTAGGGTAATCGCCAAAAATAATACATCTTAAAAGATTTATGTGGAGAGAACACAATATGATCCAGGGAAAACCAAGGGCAGCCAAATACATTGCATACGCACGTTTCATTCTGTATTTGTTTCTCTTTTTTTTTTTACCAGCAAATGTTTATTATTTTCCCTTTATACAAAATGTAACAAATTCCCCCTTTTCAGCCAGGGCTTCTGTATATGCCATATACACCCTGGCACTCGCGCTCACACTTCTTGTCAGATAAAATCAAATGTTAACATTGCCTGCTCAGCAAGTCAAAACCCATTTATAGGATAACTGCACTTCTAGTAAAGATCCGTTCAGCTGTCAAACTAAATGGAATTGTGTACCGTACATGAAGAGATCAGTGTGCTCCCTCCACAGTGGCCTGCAGGTTGTCTTTGTTTACATCCCGATGTGCTGCAGAAAGTCTGTGCACAGACCAATGGGTGGGCTCCACAACAGCAGAGATAAGAAAGAAAGCTAAAAATGGTAATAAAGGGACCATTCACACAGCATCCAGATTACGACCAGACTGCATCCAGTTTATGACCAGACCGTTTCCGCACCCAAAATGTATCCCAAATTATCCCTATACTATTTCTGGCCTCTGTTCCCACCAGCTCAGTCCGTTCCAGACCAGAAAAATACTGCTTGTCCTATTTTGCCTGGTCTGGAACGCATCACAAAGCACCTGCAAGACCATTTTAAGTAGGGTTGCACAGATACCAAGTACAGTACTCGGTACAAGTACATGTACCGATACTTTTGAGCTCCAAGAATAGAATAGAGAAACATTCAAAAATTAGGAGGCAGCTGTCATTTGTAAGGAGCACACGGAGCTCCTGGGATTTGTACATCTGTTTTAATGTACGATATTTTTATAAATATAAATAAAGGGATGCACAGATACCAGTTTTGCGAGTACTGGTACTTGCCGAGTACTTACAAGTACGAGTACTGATACATTTTTGTTTATTGTCATGTGACAGTTTTTCTAAAACAATATCGACTAATGATTTCAGGACAGTGGTGGAGTGCCAGAGCCCGGTCCCAGCTACAACCGCTGCAACCCTGGTAGTTCTCATGAAAATGCCAAGTATCTGCGCATCCCTAATTTTAAGCTAAAAGAAATAAATACATTTCCAATCGTGGCAAAACCGCAGCAAAATCGCAATGCACTATGTTTCAGATCTGGTCCGGAAAATGGTGCCTAGCCTAACCCAGCCTAAAACTCCATCCTCCAATCATATGTCTGAGTCGGTTTATCATCTACTATATGCACTACTTAAATGTGTGTATTAGTGAGCAGAAAGGAGATGGAATGTTATCAATAAGTAAATCAGCTGAGGTTTTTTTTTGTCCGTCACTGACCACATTTTAAAGCACAACTCCAGGGGTTAAAACTGGCACTGCAATGGTTAACGACTGGTTTATGCCTCGGAGGGGACAGGAAAAAGCTGATTTACCTGATCCCCGTTCCCAGGCTGACAGACCAGTCCCTACAGCCTCTTCTCCCCTGCCCCCCAGCATTCTAAGGGCCCCTGACACCATCAAGTACATTGCAGTTTCCATAGCCTTGCATTGTATGCGAGGACACCGGGGGACAGTCCGAAACCAGAGTGGATGGGGGGGGAGGGGGGTGTCAATGGATCAGGTAAGCAAAAGAGCATTTTCCTGTCCCATAGCCATAAACAAGCAGTTAAACTTTTCTTTTCCCTGGATTTGGGCTTTAAAGAAAGTTTTAACACTTGCAGTGAGGGACACAGGAAGTACTCAACATTCAGTATAGCGCAATGGTTTAAGACCCTGAATTCCAAGAACAGGATTTTACCACGAGTACAAAAATCCTGTTTTCTTCACAATCTGCTGCATTTTGGGCTATACTGTGCAGGGGTGTGGACATTTTTGAAAAAACTGCTTGTCCAAGGGCTAAAGCGGGGGTCAAATCTACTTGTCCTTCATGACAATCTACTTGTCCCAATACAAAAAAATATTTTGCTTTCAGTACTCACTATCGCTTTCAGTATCGGTGCTTCCGTTGGCATGGAGAAGGCTTCCTGGGCAATGAGATACTACCCGGCTTCCTGACTGCCAGGGAAGCCGACTCCATGTTGTTTGGCCGGCTTGATTGTGAATGGTTTCCGGGCCAATCAGCATCGAGCCAGCTTGCTAGCCAATCAGGAAACCTGGCGGAGAGTAATGACCCGATTGGCTGGGAGGACGGCTCGATGCTGATTGACAGCCAATCAGCATTGAGCTGGCTTCTCGGCCAATCAGGAAACTGGGAGGCGGGTCATTAGTCACTGCCCTGCTTCGTGATTGCACAGGAAGCTGGCTCCATGTTCCCCTACGGCACGGCCGGTCGGAGGAAATCTTCCTCTGACCAGAAGTTCCAGTATTGGGGATGGTATGCGAGTATTTGGGCGAGTACAAGTACTAGCCCCAAATACTCTATCTGTGCATCCCTAATCAGAACTGTATTTGACTGTGCTAAATAGCGCTTCTCATTGGTCAGCGTGGTCACCTGACCAATTAGTGCTTGCAATTTGCGAGCAAAATTCAAAATGCAGAGGGCAGGACTGCGCTGGGCAGTACGGGGTAAGGACACCTGTACTGGCGGAGGGTAAGTACTGTTCGCAGAAAGTTAAGTATAGCTGGCAGGGGGGGGTGGGAGAGACCAGGCCAGATTTGATCAGGTAATTCCATTTTCCCATATTACCTTGGAAAGTGAACCCTTTAATGCACATTGTGCGTGTGTGAGGGTTCTGCTGCATGGCCACCACAATATGGCACACAGTGAAATGGCGGCAGGACTAAACACACACACACAATGCGTGCAGATGGCATACAAGATGGCCTGTAATCTCATGAGATCTCGGGGAAAAAGCATTTTCCTCCCCTGAGATGATGTGCATGGTCACATGTGGCAGAATTCCAGGAAGTAAAAG